AGTGTGCAGGAATAACTGCTTGAGCTGTTAGGGGTTCTTTTATAGTACTGCTTTAGATCAGGAAACAAGCAGTGATCACACTTCTACACTGCCCGCTAACTTATTTCCTGTTTGCCTTCACTGCAAAATAGTGCAACATATTTAAAACACAGAAAAAAACACAGTGTCATGCCCTTTGCAGCCAAGAAGAAAAAAAAACATGTAGGCCATGCACTGACTACTGTAACCTGAAGAGTAAGTATCCTTTGCCACTCGTTAGATCTGCTCTGGAGGCTCTCCAGTGTTTGACCTCTGAAACATTTTACACTTGGTCCATATCAGGGAGGAGGATCAATGTAAGGCTGTGTTTAACACATGTTTAGGACATTTTGAACTATGACTTTTTTTTGGATCAATGTGCACTCCAGCTTCAATGCTTGTGATTAGTTACTGTAGGTCAGGTGGCAGAGCAGGTCAGCCACTAATCAGAAGGTCGTGGTTCGATCCCAGGCTGCCTCCTGGCTGCATGCCAAATATCCTTGGGCAAGATACTAACCCCATTTTTGCCTACTGGTGGTGGTCAGAGGGCCGGTGGCAGTGTCCGGCAGCCTCGCCTCTGTCAGTGCGCCCCAGGGCAGCTGTGGCTACAATGTAGCTTGCCATTGCCAGTGGTGAATGACTGAATGTAGTGTGAAGCGCTTTGGGGTCCTTAGGGACTGAGAAAGCCTATACAAATGCACATACAGTTGCTATGTAAATGCATTTAATTTAGTTCACTTGAATTATATTCTGATTTTTTTTTTGAGTCTCTAAAACCTGGTAGGCTGCAACCTTGTGAATTATCCTCCTGTCAGTTAACCCCCAAAGAACAAAATTAGAATGTGGTGATTGTGAACTACTCAAGGTTATGTGCTTAAATGGTGACACTGGTTGGAGGGAGCTGACAGCCTCATGAACAAAAAATGACGCAACATTACACTTCCTATGCAGCAACAGACAAAAACAACAAGCACGCATGCTACAAACTTTACCCGAGTCATTTAGACAGCCGTTAGCACATGATTCTCCTTATGGGGACCTGATATGTTTAATATGCTGCTGAGATATAGCCCAGAAGAAGCGTATAGTATAGCTTTTATTTTGGAAAGAGCCATTTCTCTGTAATAAACTCTCTTTTCCAAAGATGAGTGATTTCTCATCAGATAGATTTATTTTTTTTATTCTTTGTTGTTTCAGCAACATTAAATTTAAAAACTGTACTTTTGAGTTAAAATATATATTTATAATTTTAATAAATGACAAATTAAAAAGGCATGAACATTTTTTTGTATCGAAAAAATATCGAACCGTGACACCAAAGTATCGAACCGAACCGTGAATTTTGTGTATCGTTGCACCCCTAATATATATAATATATATATATCATAATAATCTGACAATACTATAATATTGGCCATATTATATTTACATTACCACAGTGAGATGATTTTAGTCTCATGAACAACATTAACTAATTGTTATTTACTAACTAATCTTAAATGACTGTTCAGCACAGAAATGAAGCCCAACAATCATGTTTTACAGTCCTGTGGTCTCAGCCTCAGATACTCAACTAATCAAAGTGATGTCATGACAAAAATGAATGACCAACAAAACATTTTTCTCCTTCATTTCTGTCAAACAAAGCTGTATGTAACGTTTCTCGCGGTTAGTATCATGGTTGCTAGGCAACCTGAACAGCGCGACGAAGGCTAGACCGTCCCATTTCACAAGCCTCTCACTTCCGCACTTCTCGTACTTATAGTACGCACTGTACGTAGTGCGCGTACTTCAAGCTGCAGACCCTGAATTGGGACACACCAGTGGCTCACAGAGACACTGCTGACTGGAGGACAAAGCATGACCAAGATCAGGACCAATCAGCAGCCGCCAGCTCTCCAATGAGCAAGGACCTGTGGACTCTTAAAGACACAGACAGAAACAAGAGACCCCTAGGACTCCAGTTTCGGCCAGGGCCGTAACAAACCTAAAAGGGTTGGCATAGTAAAAAAAACAAAACAATTTGCCATGTCTTACAGACATACTTTGTTGTCTGGGTCAACTTTGCAAGAGACAGAGAGAGGCGTTGAAAGGCTGCTCCAACGAACTTATTGTTTCAGAGGAAAACACGAACACGGTGTACAGTCGAGTCTTAATAGCTTACTTACAACTGGGCTCGTCAGGCACTCTTCTTGGCTGCAGTGGTTATTATTATATTTACATGCTTCCAGCTCCCGTTTCTGCTCGATGACAACTCCTACTTTTCACTCTCCTTTTTCTCCCTCCTCGCGCTCACAGACACATAACGGGTATGGCAGTCCATTCTCCCTGCAGCACGACTACACTGCCCATAAGTAGGGATGTGTACCGGACATAAACGGTTAGTCTCTGAGATGTCACTTGATTCTAGCCAATCATTTTACCTTTCAGGATAGTAGGCGGGCCCAGGTACGTACGTTCTTTTAGAGCAGAGCTACAGATTAAAAATGCCCAAGGCGAAGCGGTCAAAAGTCTGGCTGTACTTCACAGCAAAAGATGCAAACTCAGCAGCCTGCAACAAGTGCTTTAAGGTGATACTGTGATACTGTCAAAGGAGGTAACCCTCGAATCTGATGAAACACCTGGCGACGATAGCTTTGTTAAAAGCCGAGAAATGCACCGCTTGCTGCGAGACCTCACACTGCACATCTACTGCGGGTGTGGTGCCTGTTATCGGACCCGGAGTTAGCAACATCCCCCAAAAACCCGAAGAGGAGAGTCCTGGCCCCTAGCCCTGCCAGTGTAGCAGAAATGATGAGGATGATGATGGCAGCAGCAGCCGTTCTTCTCTGCGGAGTAGCTTAATGTTGTTCGTGTGTAATTTACGTTGAGTAGGCTAACCACGTTATTACATTAATGCATGTAAGGTGAACTAGCAAACACCGTCGTAGTTACATGCGGCTGTCTTCTTGTTTGATGGCAGATACTCCCTTCACCCTGGCCAAAAAGGCTAAAATGACCAAAGAAAAAGTGGAAAACAGCTAAACATGAGAGGTTTTTGGACAAAGTTTGTGTTTTTTCCATTGTTTAAGCACTGCTTCCAGCCAAGAGTGATACCATATATGCCCTATAGCTGCAGAAAAGGCTAACATTGTTATCTTTTTACAAAAAAACAGCTGAACATGAGAGGTTTTTGGACAAATTGTGTTCTCCATTCTTTAAGCACCGGTTTGAGCACTGTTTAAGCACCGGCACCATTTCAAAAGTACTGTTTTAGCACCGGTATCGGATAAAACCTAAACGATACCATCCCTACCCACGAGGCTACATTCTTTAGGGCTATACCTGTAACACTCCGCTTTGCCTTCATATTAAATTATTCTTAAAAATATTTCCTCACGCCATTATGAGACTCAAGATTGAGACACAGGCATTAGAGCCTCTTAATGCGTGTTTTGGTTAGGTTTCCATCACCGTGGAATTACCTAAAATAGAGAGGGCATAGCCTAACATACGAAACAGGAACAGACTTCTTTGTAAGCAACTGTACTCTGAATACTTTTTAAATAATAATAATATATATATATATAATATAATAATATATATATATATAATAATAATAATACTTTTTAAACAGTACCTGTAAAGGAGAACCGTTACTCATATTTTGGATTTTAAATATGTAACGGTGGTACATGTATTCCATTACTCCCCAACACTGTTTGTAGAAAACAACAGATTTTGTCTTGTTTTAAGCTTATTTGTTTTGCAAGGAACTGAACTCTGATTGAAACCGAACTGCTCCTCTCTCTCTTCAATCCACTGTACAACAACAGTCTCCTGCTTGTCTGTGAAGGTTCTCAGTCATCCAGCTCATCGTAGTCTAAGGACCTCGGAAAGAAAAGCGTCTGGACTTCTTTAAGTTGTTTGAAGACGTTTCACCTCTCATACAAGAAGCTTCTTCAGTTCTAAGGTCAAATGGTGGGGAGTCCCAGATTTGGGGAGTATTCCCCCGAGAGGGACAATCGACCCCCTAAAGATCCTCTACCTAATCACATTATTGATATATGTAATACACATATATACAGGAGAAGATGGATGAATGGATTAAAGATATTCTTAAATTCATTGCTAGTTACAGTTAAGCAAGATGTTCTAAGAGCAATTGGAGGAGAGTCACAGATTTTAAGCCCTATGCGAGTGTCCCCAAGAGGGTTAGGGACCCCCTAGGGATCTTCTACGTAATCACATGAGCCAAGGTGTGAAAACGGGTTTAGGTCACAATCAGCCAGGGTTTTGGGTGAGCTCATTGTGAAACCTGGCCCCACCCCATCATGTGATTTCCTGAGGCAGATGGCCAGGATGTGAGTGGGCGTTAAGGCGTCTGGAAGGGATCTCAACTGGATTATAGATGGCAGACAGCTGGTGTCTTTGCTCAAAGATGGTCGCTCACAGTGGACAAAAATGGCGTCTTTCACTCCTCTTTCTAACCATCTGTCCTCTCTGTCCAAAATGTGAACATTGGCATCCTTTAGATGCAGATGGACTGCTGAGTCTTGTCCTGTGGAGGTGGCTCTTCTATGTTGTGCCATGCGCTTGTGACGTGGCTGTTTGGTCTCTACAATGTAGAGGTCTGAGCATTCCTTGCTACACTGTACAGCACACACCACATTGTTAAGTCTGTGTTTAGGAGTTTTGTGTTCGGGATGAACCAGTTTCTGTCTGATTGTGTTGCTGGGTCTGAAGTACACTGGGATGTCTTTTGCTTTCCTTTCCAAAAACTCTTACAGATTCATTCATAACCAAGTTATTTGTTATGGACTTCTCATGGGCCAAGATCAGAAAATTCCTCTTTCTTTAACGTGACAAAAGTAAATAATCTTTACTAAAATCGCTGAGATTATATCATTATATGAAACGTAGAGAACTGTTGAGGGCAGAGTTGAAAGCTGCTTGATGCCTGCTTCTGTGCTCACAGTGTTGTGTCTGTCTCCTGCAGATTGTTAATGTCCAGTGCTCTTGCTGAGCTCACTCTCTTCAGTTGCTTGTTGGATTTTGGTCACAATGGCACCTTTCTCCTTTGCCCGGAAAGACTTACAGAGGAAAAAGTAAACAACAGGGTCCAGGCAGACATTGAAAACTGCCACCATGGTGGTCACCTCCATTACATAGTTCAAGACTGAGCCTACAGAGTCATTGCTCCGCAGAAGACTATAGGGAAGACGAGCCAGGTGATAGGGGACAAAGCAAACACAGAAGATGCTGACCAGCACCAACATGTTCCTGCGAGACTTCACAAGCTTCTCGGAGCCAGAGGAGGCCAGCTGCCTCTGCTGTGCCTGCAACACCCTGCGGGAGGTGCTGTAGTAGAAGAAGACCAGGGATATGGAGACCAACAAGAAGATAATGGGAGACAAAGTGTGGATGATTGTGAAGAACAGCTTGATTGATTCACTAAAGAAGGGATCACAGCAGCTGGGGTTAGAGGTCACAGGGGTCTGGGTGATGAAAAACAGGATGGTGTATGTCACAGTCGGAACCAGGAGAAAGACCCAGGTAATGATGGAAATGATGTGGGCAGTTTTTGCTGTCTGCAGGATGTGAGTTCCTGAAGGCTGGATGATCTTTAGATACCTGAAGAGAAAAGAAACGGGGTTTGAGTAGATGAATCAGTCACTATTCATTAATCAGTCACAGTGGTTTCAGATCAGTAGAAATTAATAAAGTCAAAAGTGATGTCAGTGATTTAGTCAGGCTGTCAGAATTTGTAGTAAAAACATGAAATGCAGTGTGAATTCAGTAAAAGGTTCCTCTAATCTTCATCATGAAGTTTACCTGTTGGCAGCGATGTAGCCCATGAATATGATGCTGGCGTACATGTTGAGGAAGATGGCACAAGCTCCAAAACTACAGTAGAGCTGCCGAATGATGACAGAGCTGCTGGCATAGTGGGTGATGCGGAGTGGCAGAAAGAGGCAGAGCAGGAAGTCAGCAGCTGTCAGGTTTTTCAGGTAGATCTTCAAGCTGCTCGATGCCCGCTGCTGTGCTCCACAAAAGTGAAACTTCATGATGAAGCCATTGAGGATTAACCCCACCTAAAGAAACACAGAAAGGATGGAGAGGACAGGACTTCAGCACATACACTGAGAACCTTTAACACATTTTTAACAGTGATCTGATGATTTGAAACTTACCAGGAACACTAGACTGTAGACCAGCATAAAGAAAGGATAGGCTGAAGTGTTAACAGCATCGCAGGTCTGGTTGGAAGATGAAGTCACATTTATTGTGTCAGCCATGTTTCTGGAGCTGAAAAATAAATCCAATTTATTGAGTTCAAGAAGGAGCAGTCATAGAAAACCACTGCTCACTCTTAATAACCAATTATACTAACACTTTATTATTAGTATTGTGACTTTGGGCTAGAGGCAGGTTAGGAGCGTGAGCTCCAAGAGCTGGTTCTTAACCAAAGACTTCCCTTGCTAGCAAGTAAAAGATGTTCATCTTGTTTTTGTCGTTAACGAGAATAAGTTTCTAAACCAGCGGGGCTTGTGGAAACACAGATCCAACAGGCGGCCACACGGCCAGTGGCTGAGGCAACTAAGCAGATCGAGAGGCCCACCACACGGAAGCCAGTGGCGGCGACTTAGCAGGTCGACCAGGCCGGCGACGAGCTGCAGACGACGAGCTGCAGAGGATGGCGTGGGAGCCGGCGGAGGAGCAGCTGCCGGCGACGCCGTTTGAGCCGACGGAGGAGCAGCTGCAGGCGACAGCATGGGAGCCAGTGGTGACGGAGGGGCAGCTGCATGGCGACAGGGGGCAGCTGCAGGCGACGGAGGGGCAGCTTCAGACGACGGTGTGGGAGCCAGCGGTGATGTAGCCAGCGGTGACGGAGCGGCAGCTGCGGGGCCAGCAGGTGCGGGAACCTCTGGCTGAAGGCAGGCTGAAGGCACCAGGGAAGGTGGGAGGGCGTGAAAGGCTGGATCAGGAGATGGAAGCGGTGTTGGATTAGCAGGTGGACAGGCTAGCTGTTCCGAGCCTCCAGAGCATGAGGGCACTAGCTGGAGAGTCTCAGCTGAGCCTCTAGGGGGGTCAGGTGGAACTGCTGGCCTGTCACCCTGGGTGCGGAAAAACCACAGGGACTGGGCAACAGTCACCCCCACCGTGGAAAAACAAAAAAACCACAACGCCCGCCGGACCACAAACAGCTACTCAGCCTGTCCCTGCAGCACCTCCTCGGGTGGCTAGGGACCAGCTAGCACTCACTCCTGTGCCAGCTCCCAGGACAAGGGCAGCTGTGACCCAGTCTACCTCCACACCCATTCCTGTTTTTCAGGTGGGGGTGACTGTTGCCCAGCCACCTCCCGTGGCTTTCCCAGCACCCAGGGTGAGGGCAGCCAGAATTCCACCTGACCCCCCTAGAGGCTCAGCTGAGACTCTCCAGCTAGTGCCCTCATGCTCTGGAGGCTCGGAACAGCTAGCCTGTCCACCTGCTAATCCAACACCGCTTCCATCTCCTGATCCAGCCTTTCACGCCCTCCCACCTTCCCTGGTGCCTTCAGCCTGCCTTCAGCCAGAGGTTCCCGCACCTGCTGGCCCCGCAGCTGCCGCTCCGTCACCGCTGGCTACATCACCGCTGGCTCCCACACCGTCGTCTGAAGCTGCCCCTCCGTCGCCTGCAGCTGCCCCCTGTCGCCATGCAGCTGCCCCTCCGTCACCACTGGCTCCCATGCTGTCGCCTGCAGCTGCTCCTCCGTCGGCTCAAACGGCGTCGCCGGCAGCTGCTCCTCCGCCGGCTCCCACGCCATCCTCTGCAGCTCGTCGTCTGCAGCTCGTCGCCGGCCTGGTCGACCTGCTAAGTCGCCGCCACTGGCTTCCGTGTGGTGGGCCTCTCGATCTGCTTAGTTGCCTCAGCCACTGGCCGTGTGGCCGCCTGTTGGATCTGTGTTTCCACAAGCCCCGCTGGTTTAGAAACTTATTCTCGTTAACGACAAAAACAAGATGAACATCTTTTACTTGCTAGCAAGGGAAGTCTTTGGTTAAGAACCAGCTCTTGGAGCTCACGCTCCTAACCTGCCTCTAGCCCAAAGTCCTTTGAAAGTCCTAATGATAAAGTGTTAGTATAATTGGTTATTAAGAGTGAGCAGTGGTTTTCTATGACTGCTCCTTCTTGAACTCAATAAATTGGATTTATTTTTCAGCTCCAGAAACATGGCTGACACAATAAATGTGACTTCATCTTCCAACCAGACCTGCGATGCTGTTAACACTTCAGCCTATCCTTTCTTTATGCTGGTCTACAGTCTAGTGTTCCTGGTAAGTTTCAAATCATCAGATCACTGTTAAAAATGTGTTAAAGGTTCTCAGTGTATGTGCTGAAGTCCTGTCCTCTCCATCCTTTCTGTGTTTCTTTAGGTGGGGTTAATCCTCAATGGCTTCATCATGAAGTTTCACTTTTGTGGAGCACAGCAGCGGGCATCGAGCAGCTTGAAGATCTACCTGAAAAACCTGACAGCTGCTGACTTCCTGCTCTGCCTCTTTCTGCCACTCCGCATCACCCACTATGCCAGCAGCTCTGTCATCATTCGGCAGCTCTACTGTAGTTTTGGAGCTTGTGCCATCTTCCTCAACATGTACGCCAGCATCATATTCATGGGCTACATCGCAGCCAACAGGTAAACTTCATGATGAAGATTAGAGGAACCTTTTACTGAATTCACACTGCATTTCATGTTTTTACTACAAATTCTGACAGCCTGACTAAATCACTGACATCACTTTTGACTTTATTAATTTCTACTGATCTGAAACCACTGTGACTGATTAATGAATAGTGACTGATTCATCTACTCAAACCCCGTTTCTTTTCTCTTCAGGTATCTAAAGATCATCCAGCCTTCAGGAACTCACATCCTGCAGACAGCAAAAACTGCCCACATCATTTCCATCATTACCTGGGTCTTTCTCCTGGTTCCGACTGTGACATACACCATCCTGTTTTTCATCACCCAGACCCCTGTGACCTCTAACCCCAGCTGCTGTGATCCCTTCTTTAGTGAATCAATCAAGCTTGTTCTTCACAATCATCCACACTTTGTCTCCCATTATCTTCTTGTTGGTCTCCATATCCCTGGTCTTCTTCTACTACAGCACCTCCCGCAGGGTGTTGCAGGCACAGCAGAGGCAGCTGGCCTCCTCTGGCTCCGAGAAGCTTGTGAAGTCTCGCAGGAACATGTTGGTGCTGGTCAGCATCTTCTGTGTTTGCTTTGTCCCCTATCACCTGGCTCGTCTTCCCTATAGTCTTCTGCGGAGCAATGACTCTGTAGGCTCAGTCTTGAACTATGTAATGGAGGTGACCACCATGGTGGCAGTTTTCAATGTCTGCCTGGACCCTGTTGTTTACTTTTTCCTCTGTAAGTCTTTCCGGGCAAAGATGAGGAAGGTGGCCATTGTGACCAATATCCGACAAGCAACTGAAGAGAGTGAGCTCAGCCACGAGCATCTGGACATTAACAATCTGCAGGAGACAGACACAACACTGTGAGCACAGAAGCAGGCATCAAGCAGCTTTCAACTCTGCCCTCAACAGTTCTCTACGTTTCATATAATGATATAATCTCAGCGATTTTAGTAAAGATTATTTACTTTTGTCACGTTAAAGAAAGAGGAATTTTCTGATCTTGGCCCATGAGAAGTCCATAACAAATAACTTGGTTATGAATGAATCTGTAAGAGTTTTTGGAAAGGAAAGCAAAAGACATCCCAGTGTACTTCAGACCCAGCAACACAATCAGACAGAAACTGGTTCATCCCGAACACAAAACTCCTAAACACAGACTTAACAATGTGGTGTGTGCTGTACAGTGTAGCAAGGAATGCTCAGACCTCTACATTGTAGAGACCAAACAGCCACGTCACAAGCGCATGGCACAACATAGAAGAGCCACCTCCACAGGACAAGACTCAGCAGTCCATCTGCATCTAAAGGATGCCAATGTTCACATTTTGGACAGAGAGGACAGATGGTTTGAAAGAGGAGTGAAAGAAGCCATCTATGTCCACTGTGAGCGACCATCTTTGAACAAAGACACCAACTGTCTGCCATCTATAATCCAGTTTTGAGATCCCTTCCCAGACGCCTTAACGCCCACTCACATCCTGGGCCATCTGACCTCAGGAAATCACATGATAGGGTGGGGCCAGGTTTCACAATGAGCTCACCCAAAACCCTGGCTGATTGTGACCTAAACCCGTTTTCACACCTTGGCTCATGTGATTACGTAGAAGATCCCTAGGGGGTCCCTAACCCTCTTGGGGACACTCGCATAGGGCTTAAAATCTGTGACTCTCCTCCAATTGCTCTTAGAACATCTTGCTTAACTGTAACTAGCAATGAATTTAAGAATATCTTTAATCCATTCATCCATCTTCTCCTGTATATATGTGTATTACATATATCAATAATGTGATTAGGTAGAGGATCTTTAGGGGGTCGATTGTCCCTCTCGGGGGAATACTCCCCAATCTGGGACTCCCCACCATTTGACCTTAGAACTGAAGAAGCTTCTCGGATGAGAGGTGAAACGTCTTCAAGCAACTTAAAGAAGTCCAGACGCTTTTCTTTCCGAGGTCCTTAGACTACGATGAGCTGGATGACTGAGAACCTTCACAGACAAGCAGGAGACTGTTGTTGTACAGTGGATTGAAGAGAGAGAGGAGCAGTTCGGTTTCAATCAGAGTTCAGTTCCTTGCAAAACAAATAAGCTTAAAACAAGACAAAATCTGTTGTTTTCTACAAACAGTGTTGGGGAGTAATGGAATACATGTACCACCGTTACATATTTAAAATCCAAAATATGAGTAACGGTTCTCCTTTACAGGTACTGTTTAAAAGTATTATTATTATATATATATATATTATTATATTATATATATATATATTATTATTATTTAAAAAGTATTCAGAGTACAGTTGCTTACAAAGAAGTCTGTTCCTGTTTCGTATGTTAGGCTATGCCCTCTCTATTTTAGGTAATTCCACGGTGATGGAAACCTAACCAAAACACGCATTAAGAGGCTCTAATGCCTGTGTCTCAATCTTGAGTCTCATAATGGCGTGAGGAAATATTTTTAAGAATAATTTAATATGAAGGCAAAGCGGAGTGTTACAGGTATAGCCCTAAAGAATGTAGCCTCGTGGGTAGGGATGGTATCGTTTAGGTTTTATCCGATACCGGTGCTAAAACAGTACTTTTGAAATGGTGCCGGTGCTTAAACGGTGCTCAAACTGGTGCTTAAAGAATGGAGAACACAAAATTTGTCCAAAAACCTCTCATGTTTAGCTGTTTTTTTTGTAAAAAGATAACAATGTTAGCCTTTTCTGCAGCTATAGGGCATATATGGTATCACTCTTGGCTGGAAGCAGTGCTTAAACAATGGAAAAAACAAAAACCTCTCATGTTTAGCTGTTTTCCACTTTTTCTTTGGTCATTTTAGCCTTTTTGGCCAGGGTGAAGGGAGTATCTGCCATCAAACAAGAAGACAGCCGCATGTAACTACGACGGTGTTTGCTAGTTCACCTTACATGCATTAATGTAATAACGTGGTTAGCCTACTCAACGTAAATTACACACGAACAACATTAAGCTACTCACGCAGAGAAGAACGGCTGCTGCTGCCATCATCATCCTCATCATTTCTGCTACACTGGCAGGGCTAGGGGCCAGGACTCTCCTCTTCGGGTTTTTGGGGGATGTTGCTAACTCCGGGTCCGATAACAGGCACCACACCCGCAGTAGATGTGCACGGTGTGAGGTCTCGCAGCAAGCTACATTTCTCGGCTTTTAAAAAACGCTATGCGTCGCCAGGTGTTTCATCAGATTTGAGGTGTTACCTCCTTTGCACAGTATCAGCTTAAAGCACTTGTTGCAGGCTGCTGAGTTTGCATCTTTTGCTGTGAAGTACAGCCAGACTTTGACCGCTTCGCCTTGGGCATTTTTAATCTGTAGCTCTGCTCTAAAAGAACGTACGTACCTGGGCCCGCCTACTATCCTTGGAAAGGTAAAATGATTGGCTAGAATCCAAAGTGTATGACATCTCAGGAAAAAAAGCAAAACCGATGTGCAGACGGCTACACATAGCTCTAAAGAATGTATCATGGGCAGTGTAGTACGTGCTGCAGGGAGAATGGACTGCCATACCCGTTATGTGTCTGTGAGCGCGAGGAGGGAGAAAAAGGAGAGTGAAAAGTACGAGTTGTCATCGAGCAAAAACGGGAGCTGGAAGCATGTAAATATAATAAAACCACTGCAGCCAAGAAGAGTGCCTGACGAGCCCAGTTGTAAGTAAGCTATTAAGACTCGACTGTACACCGTGTTCGTGTTTTCCTCCGAAACAATAAGTTCAGTTGGAGCTTTCAACGCCTCTCTCTGTCTCTTGCTATACAGTTGACCCAGACAACAAAGTATGTCTGTAAGACATGGCAAATTGTTTTGTTTTTTTTACTATGCCAACCCTTTTAGGTTTGTTACGGCCCTGGCCGAAACTGGAGTCCTAGGGGTCTCTTGTTTCTGTCTGTGTCTTTAAGAGTCCACAGGTCCTTGCTCATTGGAGAGCTGGCGGCTGCTGATTGGTCCCCTGATCTTGTGACTGCTTTGAAAATCCCTCAGCAGCAGTTGACCTGTGGCAGCCACTGGTTGTGTCCCAATTCAGGGTCTGCATGCTTGAAGTACGCGCACTACGTACAGTGCGTACTATAAGTACGAGAAGTGCGGAAGTGAGAGGCTTGTGAAATGGGACGGTATACGCTTCGTCGCGCTGTTCAGGTTGCCTAGCAACCATGATACTAACCGCGAGACACGTTACATACAGCTTTGTTTGACAGAAATGAAGGAGAAAAATGTTTTGTTGGTCATTCATTTTTGTCATGACATCACTTTGATTAGTTGAGTATCTGAGGCTGAGACCACAGGACTGTAAAACATGATTGTTGGGCTTCATTTCTGTGCTGAACAGTCATTTAAGATTAGTTAGTAAATAACAATTAGTTAATGTTGTTCATGAGACTAAAGTCATCTCACTGTGGTAATGTAAATATAATATGGCCAATATTATAGTATTGTCAGATTATTATGATATATATAGTTATATTATATATATATTAGGGGTGCAACGATACACAAAATTCACGGTTCGGTTCGATACTTTGGTGTCACGGTTCGATATTTTTTCGATACAAAAAAATGTTCATGCTTTTTTAATTTGTCATTTATTAAAATTATAAATATATATTTTAACTCAAACGTACAGTTTTTAAATTTAATGTTGCTGAAACAACAAAGGGATAAAATAATAAATCTATCTGATCGAGAAATCACTCATCTTTGGAAAAGAGAGTTTATTACAGAGAAATGGCTCTTTCCAAAATAAAAGCTATACTATACGCTTCTTCTGGGCTATATTCTCAGCAGCATATTAAACATATCAGGTCCCCATAAGGAGAATCATGTGCTAACGGCTGTCTAAATGACTCGGGTAAAGTTTGTAGCATGCATGCTTGTTGTTTTTGTCTGCTTCCACTTGTCTTTGGTACTGCTTTTATTGTTCTATGAGAAAAGGCGGTTCAGCTCCCTCCAACCAGTGTCACCATTTGTCCAGCTCCAGCCTAACCTTGAGTAGTTCACAATCACCCCACATTCTAATTTTGTTCTTTGGGGGTTAACTGACAGGAGGATAATTCACAAGGTTGCAGCCTACCCAGTGTTTAGAGACTCAAAAAAAAAATCAGAATATAATTCAAGTGAACTAAAATCAAAATGTTCAAGAAGTAAATGGCCTGCATTTGTATAGCGCTTTTCTAGTCCCTAAGGACCCCAAAGCGCTTCACACTACATTCAGTCATTCACCCATTCAAGGGCAAGCTACATTGTAGCCACAGCTGCCCTGGGGCGCACTGACAGAGGCGAGGCTGCCGGACACT